ATTACTGATACATGCTTGGAAATTTCATAGGATGGGCGGTGAAACCACCATCCTCATAAATTGGTAATTAGAGTTGAAGATAAAAAATAATAAAATTAGGGTATTAAGATCCATTTAATTACTTAGGCATAATATAACTATTGTGCTTTCAAGGTTGGGTTTTTTTCTGAGAGATTAAGGAGTTGAAGTTGAATATTTTTAAAGTATTTTAATGATATCAATTTTTGCATTATTTAAAAATATAAAAAATAATACATATTAATTCCCTACCGCAGGTCTTCCATGCCAAAAAAATACAATGGGTTGTATAAAACTATACATAATTGGCTCTAATGCCGTTGGGTTTAATTAGGCTTGGTTTGGGAATGATATGCTATGGTTATAGCAGCATAGGTTTTTTTTTTTAAATTTTAATATTAAAAAATATATAATATATTTAATATTTATCTTAATTAATAGTTTATATATTTTAAAAATAATGCAAAGATAAAAACAAAAAAATTAAAATTCTGAGAACTAAATCCAAAGGAAAAGCCCTAGTCCGCTAACTACTTTCCCATAAAAAAATGAAAGATAACCATTTGAGGAAAGTAGATGGTCTAAAACTTTGTATGGGTAAGGCTAAAATACTAATTTTAATCCTTTAATTTTTAGATTTATATTAAAATTATTTTTTAATTTTAAAAATATTTAAATTGTCCCTAAATTTTAATTTTTGATACTAAAATAGTCATTTTATTAATAAAAATATTACATAATTTGTTATTTTACCATAAATTAGTTCTTTTTAAAAATATATTAATGATGTGTAAAATTAAAAAATAATATTTTGTCATTATAACATATTTTTATTTATATATTAGATTAACATGTAATTAAAGTTGAATAATTAAATTAGTATTTATAATCAAAATTCAAGGACTAAATTACTACTTATTTTCGAAGTTTAAGGCTAAATTAATACTTGTAGTCAAAATTTCAAAACTATTTTAATACTAAAAATTAAAATTTAAAGACAATTTTGATACTTTTTAAAATTAAAAAATAATTTGAATAAAAATTTAAAAGTTAAAAGATTAAATTAATATTTTAACCTAATTTTATAAGGCCCTGAAGTATGCCTTGTTTAGTTGTTTTTAAAAAGTGCACAACCACATAATTTCTACTACTTC